CGTGCAGAAGAATGTCTTTGAGAGTCTCATTGCTACCTTGATGGACACAGGCAAGTCAAAGGATGGTCTGAAATCACGGAAAGACATGGTGCAGCTAAATGTGATGCCACAGCTTCACCCGGTACCTAAAGCTAATGGAAAATACACTCTGCCCACGGCATGCTTCAATCTAACACCAGACGAGAAGAGAGCTATATGCACTTTCCTGAGGGGGGTCAAAGTCCCGATTGGGTTTTCAGCGAATGTGATGAAGCTAGTGTCGATGAAGGACTTGTCAATAACACACTACAAGGCTCATGACTATCATGTGGTGCTGACATTGTTTTTACCTATTGCAATCAGGGCTATAAAGCTAGAGTTCTTAAAAATGGCCATCACCCGCATGTGCTACTTCTTTTCGAAGATCTCACAGAAGATGATTGGTAAGCAAGAGCTGAGTGACCTACATGAATTTGTGGTGGAGACACAAAACCAACTAGAGATGTGTTTACCTCCTGCTTTTTTTGATATAATGCCACATCTCATGATTCACATGGTTCATCAGATATATGCGCTGGGCCCTTGCTACTTGCATGAAATGTGGTCCTACAAGCGGTTCATGTCGGTTCTAAGTTGATACATGCATAATCGAGCATACCCAGAGGGCTCCATGATAGAGGGTTACAGTACTGAAGAAGTCATCGAGTGCTGTCAAGAGTATCGAAAAGTACAGAAAGGGATTGGTAAACCTGATTCTCGTCACAAGGATAGGCTGGCTGGGAAGGGCACTAGTGGTAGAAAAGTGTTCATCGACCATGATTACAAAGGGGTGAGTTGGGCGCATTACAGTGTCTTGCAGAGTACACAACTGATGCAACCGTACATTGATGAACACTTGGCTATCATTATGGCGGAGAGAAATGGTCGTTCGGATGATTGGGTCATGAAACAACACAAGCAACGACTAACTACATGGTTGAAGAACCAAAACATACCGTCTGGAGAAACCATAGACTCTATTACCATCAGTAGGTTGGCGGAGGGGTCATCGAGACAAGTGACATCTTGGAATGCTTATGACATCAATGGGTATACGTATTATACCCACGCAAAGGATAGTAAATATGTGAACCAAAATAGCGGCGTTCGAATAGAGGCTCTCGATGGATTGGGGTGAAAGATCTAATACTTTGGCATCATTGAAGAGATATGAGAACTTGACTATGGAAGGGATATAATCGTGGCCCTGTTTCGATGCCGCTAGATCAAACAACACCAACTGAATGAGATCGGATTGAGAGTCCTGGACCTCGAGAATCTAGGCTACCAAGATGATCCTTGGGTGCTCGCTTCACGTGTCGCACAAGTTTTCTATATGTCTGATCCACAAAGTAATCTCTCCTCGAAGAAGAAGACAAAGCACGTGGTTGCCTCCGGGAAACAACATATTATTGGAGTTGATGGCGTTGACGATGTTGAAGCTTACAATAACTACAATGAGATGCCGCTATTCACAGACTTTTCTAAGAAGATCAGTGTTGTGAAAAAGAACCTACTCAAAGACATATTGTCATGGGAACGAAAATGTGTCATGGGGAAAGTCGTTACAGCGGCCTAGCTATTTGTTGAACGTGGAGTGTTTGTGTGTGTGTTTGTAAGACTTCATTTATGCATGCGTATGAGACTATATATTTATGTATGTGTGTAAGACTACATATTTTTGTATGTGTGTGAGACTATATTTATGCATGTGTGTGAGACTACCCTTTGCAACATCCAGATGAATCTATTTCAACATCCACTCTATTACTACTAAAACTTTATGAAATCACTTAACACTTTATGAAATGAAGAAATGACCAAAATAAAAGTAGGAGATCTTGACGAGTTATACAACTTTTATATTCATCACCTTTACAGCTGAAATTATTTAGTGGTTGAAAATCAGGTTTGAAGCTGTCATTTTCTGAAATTCAATATTTGAATTATTCAAAATTAGTGACAAAGTTAGATGACTAGACTAAAATGATAGAGAATGATTTTAGAAAATTTTAGAAAAAAACCATCACATTTGGAGTTAGTATGAGGGAGAAAAACTAGTTACAAGTTTTAGCCATAGATTAAAAAGAGAAATCACACTTATTCATCATTGATCATCATGAACAGTTGTGATTTTTCTTTTTAATCTCTGGGTAAAATTTGTAACTAGTCTTTCTCCCTCATACTAACTCCAAATGTGATGATTTTTTCCTAAATTTTTCAAAAATGATGCCCTATCAAGTTAGTGTGTTGATTTGGTCATTCTTTTTATTTGACAAAGTTTGAGCACTTCAAATTTTCAAATTTAAAAAATGACAAGTTCGAATGAGATTTTCAATCATTAAATGATTTCAGCTGAAAAAGTGATGAATACCAAAGTTGTATAACTCATCAAGATCTACAACTTTTATTTTGATCATTTCTTCATCTGACAAAGTGATAGTAAACATTGTTCACAAATCAACATGTTTCTCGTATAGTTCATGAAACTATGAGTCATATGTGAATTTGTGAACAATGTTTACTAATACTTTATCACATGAAGAAGTGACAAATATAAAAGTTGTAGATAGTGATGAGTTCAACAACTTTTATGTTCATGACTTTTATTGTTGAAATCATTTGAGGTTTCAAAATCTTGTTTGAAGTTGCTATTTACTGAAATTTAAAATTTCAACTGTTCAAATTTGGTCAAATAAAAATATTATCAAAATAAAAGTTGTACATATTGATGAGTTCTACAACTTTGGTATTTATGAGTTTTTCATCTGAAATCATTTACTCTTTCAAAATATTGTTTCAAGGTAAAATTGTTTGAATTTCAAATTTTGAATCGTTCAAACAAAGTCACATGACAAGATGACCAAAATAAAAGTTGTACATGTTGATGAGTTATACAACTTTTATGTTTACAACATTTTTATTTTATTTCATTTAATGTTATAAAATTGTAGTCGAAGTTTTAAAATTCAAATTTTTAATTTTTGTTTTTTTTGTTTTATATATTGTTTTGACTACAATTGTTTTTATATATATTTCTACATATATATAATAATATAAAATATTATATTTGTGCATATATACAGTTGTTTTTATATTACTGTGTTTTTGTGATATAAAAAATACATAATTAATAATTTAATAAAATAGGAAATATTTGTAGGGGCGGTTGGAGCAGGAACCGCCCCTGCAAATGCATTTGTAGGGGCGGCTGGATCATGAACCGCCCCTACAAATCATTTGTAGGGGCGGCTGGATTAGGAACCGCCCCTACAAATCGTCCTGAGTATAAATACAAGGGCGCACGAGTGAAAATATGTTGGGCGCTCTCTTCTTCCTCTCGACGCCGTTAGGCTGCCCATCTCCACAGCGCTCTCTTCTTCCCCACCGCCGCCGCCTCCCGGACCTCTCCCGATGCCCGCGCCCCCTCTCCGCACCACCGGACCTCTCTCCCGACACCCGCGCCCCCTCTCCGCACCCGCGCTCCCCATCTCCATGGCGGCTAGGGTTTTAGAGCCTCCAGCCGGCGACGCTAGGGTTTCCGACCTTGAGGTGCCGCGGCGTCCGTGCTCCCTCCCGCGGCGAGCGGCCATGGTGCCCGAGCTCTCCGGCGCGCGCACTCCTTCCCTAGCACCCACACCTCCAACGGCGGGCGGCCTCCGCGCACCTCCACCGACGTCCGCACTCCTTCCCATGCTCTCCGGCGTCCGCGCACCTCCACCGACGTCCGCGCTCCTCCACAGCTTCCCCTACACCTGACAGGTAATTCAGATCCACCTTAGTTAATTTGGCTTTTGTGTTAATCAACCTTGTTGGCTCTGTGATAGTTTATTTATTTACTTAAAAGCAAATTCGGTGTCGTGTTTGGTTCCAGTGCAAGCGGAAATGCCCTTGTGATTGTTGTTTTTCTCGAGTCCTATAAAATGCCTCTGCAATGTCAACTTAATGGTGCCTTTTCTGTTATTTTGTTCTCATTCTGCTTATGAGAATTATTACTGGAATAATTATGCCTAGTTTCTTATAATTCTGCTTGTGAGATCACTAGCTACATGTGCATCTTCCTAACTTAGATGTGCTCCGGTGTCTGTTGCTCCATTAATTACTTTCTGCACTAACCAGTGCTTGATTATTACCAAACTAGAGAGTTTGATTGTTTGTCTGCCTATTCTGGTAAGTTGGTCACATAAATCTTGCTTCACCTATCACCTTACCTGCTAGCTTGGTTTTTTTCGAGCAAGCTTTTGTTCTGAAATTATAGCTTGGTTTTCGGCTGTTGTCTATGACTTGTAACTTGCTTGTTGGTATTAGGGAGAATATGTATTTGAAGATGTTGCTTTGAGTGATTCCCTGACAAGGAACCTAGGTTATCCTAGATTTGTACAAGTAGTTATATTCGACATGATGTTGGTGTGCTGTGAGATTCTATTCGAGGTCTATTTGGAAATGTACTTACGAGATCCAAATCAATCCAGATTATATTCATCATGAGGTTATTCCAACATGATGTCGGTTGATTTTTGAGCATAAAAGTTAGAGTTAATGTGCATCCGACGACTCAGTGTTCCTTGTTGCATTAGGCATGGGTGATTTCTTTGATATGAGTTGATTTTAGAGTGTTTGTTTGGATGAAGGTTTAAGCATATTGGACAAGGGTATGGACCATCACTTATGTTTGGCCAAGTCTTCACACTATTTTTCATGATAACTTGATTACTACCTTAGCTTACAACATCAAATGGCTCCCTTTGTTTCTAACAGATTGATTTTGTTACAACGGGTTTAAAGTTATTGCTACAAGTAATCTTGATAGTTTGTCTCCCATTGTGGGGCTGGGAGATAAACCTTTGATGAGAACAAATGATGAATGTGCCCTTGTTGGCGGATCAGAATTAGAACAAAATAATGAAATGCCTACGCAATGAATGCCTACATTCAGTTCATAAGCGTAGATTTCCCGTATATAAAAGAAAAGTGATCATGTACTATCTATTTCTTGGACGTTTTAAATATCTCATCCATTCATCCTCGATCATTAGGTTGTTCTTGATTGTGTTTTCAGTTTTAGTGAAATTCCGAGCATACTAAAAATGTCCGGCAAAACATATATCAAAGTTAGCAGTTAAGTGGTAAGTAGTTGAGCCACTCAGCTTGTTCCTCCTTTGTTCGGTGGTGGCAGCAAGCAAATGCAGTTAGCTTAGGTTCTGAACTTTGTCATTTGCACGAATTTTGGTCATCTTTTTAGGTTGCAAGTAGTTTTATTTATTTATTAGTTGATTTCACTTGCCTAAGCTATATTGGTTGTAGCAGTTTGCATGCATGTGTGTTGATAGGAACAGAGTAGTTTAGTACCAGTTGTAGTCACTATTTTTCAAATAGTTTTATTTATTTATTAATTGCTATTTCAGCTTTTAGGGTTTGGTAGCTATGTTATCAATTTTAGTTTTAGTTTATGTTTGCTTGTCAATTTCAGTTTCATTTTTTAGTAGCTATCTCTATCTGTACCTCTCTCTCTCTCTGGTGTGTGCGTAGCAGCAGCAAGGCTGCTCGGCCAAGCCTGCTACTACTACTACTCTACTGAACTACTACTACTACTCTCTACTGAACTACTACTGTACTTGCTACTGCTAGCTACTCCTACTCCTACTAGCTGGCTGGTACTCTACTCTCTTCCCTAGCTGTTGGCTGCTACTCTTTTCACTTCCCTATACTACTAAGTGGCTCACTTCTACTACTCTATCTACGACTACTACTGTATCTAAGTGGCTGCTGCTCTTAACTGCTGGCTGCTACACTTCTCTACTCCTCCTCTACTCTACTCCTCTACTATTACTCCTCTACTCTAATCCATTATTTACCACATCTAAGTTACCAGATTTTGATCTGCAGGGGTCTTCCAACCATGTGGCAGCAGTCAACTATTTTTTGGCTATTTTTCCTATCCTCTATGTTTGGGAAGCAGCAGCTGCTTTTTTACACCTTTTCCTCTCTATGTTTGTTAAGCAGCTGTTGCTTTTTTTTTTGCCAAATCTCCCCTCTCCTCTCATCTCCTTTGTTTTACCGATGATGAAATTGTCCAAGTCCATACATTATATGGAATTGAGCTGATGATCAAGAACTTGTGAGGAACTGGGCATCATTAGCAGTTGTCCCTACATTACCTTCTTCTCTTTTCTCTGTTACGATGCCTTGATGCTCCAAATTCATGATCAAATGATGATTAACATGTTTCTGAAGCCTCTACTACTGCTACTACTCGTTTTTTGATATATTGTTGTTTTATAAGACTACTTTGGTTTATAGACCTTTTTTATTTCTTATACCTTCTCGCGTACCTAAAGCACACTTTCTTGCATCTATTAGAACAAAGCGCAAAATAATATCGCGGACACCAGACAGTGCAGCCCGATGCTCCGAGCATGATGAGCAGCCAACCTATAAGGAACAAGCACTAGATGACCAGCTTACTCAGGAGCAGTTCGATAACGAGTTAAAAAAAGATCTAGAAGTGATGCTTACTCAGGAGCAGTGTGACGAGGAGGAAGGGGGAGCAGAAGGAAGAGCAGCAGAGGCTGCTGAAGGTGAAGAAGAAGAGGATGATGATGATGATGACTCATAAGAGGGATATGTAAGTCCCGAGGATCCTTTCCCACATGAAGCCAAAAGGAGGCCAACGGAGGAAGATTTGGACAAAGGATTTTGACCCGAACGAGGAGGTAGGAAAAAAGCCTTAGCTTGTAAATTTTGCTAAAGCTTTGGTTGTGTTACCTCTGCTAACACTTTGACCTGTCGTATATATAGGTCCCTCCTGAAACTCAGAAAAGACGACGTCGACATCCGCGACATCTCGTTGGACAAGACGGAGTAGAGGAAAAGAGAGCAGAGGCAACAACCACAGAGATAGATCATGATGCCTCTGCTCCACAACCTCAAGACACAACCACGACTACCAAGCCTAAGAGGAAATGAGGGGATAGAAAAGGAAATCTATATCCAGATAAGGCATGCTATGTGATAACGGAGGTCAGGCCAGCAGGGGAGATCCTTGAGCCGAAGGAATTAAGAGGACGATTCCGTAATGCGATCGGGGCCCTAGTAAGAGATAAATTGAACCCAACAATCCCTAACTGGAAAGAGATACCAGAGAACAAAAAGAATGAACTATGGGATAGGCAGTTGAAGCTCAAATTTAGATTTCCGGAGGGTAAGCACGAACTGGTAAAAAAATGCTTTCAGGATAATGGGAGAGTCATTCCGACGTTGGAGGTCGGAGCTCAACACGAAGTATATCTAAAAGGGGTTAACTCCCTTCAACGAGTTCGGCAAAATAACTCGTAGTCAATGGGAGGAGCTCGTGGCTCAAAAGACTTCACCGGAGGCATTGGAGCTCAGTGCTCGTAACACCAAGCTGGCGAAGAGGAACAAACACCACCATCATCTAGGCCCCGGTGGCTACTATGCCAAGGAAGAGCAGTTTAGGAAGATGGACGAAGAGGCCGCAGCTGCTGGGAATATCGATGTGACAAATTTGAAGGTACGCTCAAGGAATTGGATATATGCGAGGAGTACATAATCATCCGGCGGTAATCTTAAGTTTAATAAGCCAGAGACCCAAGAGGCAGTATCAAGGATACTGAAATATACTGAAGACAAGGAGAAGGGCTCATTAAATCCTTCCAGAGAGAAGGACGAGCTTAGCCTTGGCTTAGGAAACAAGGAGCACACATGCCGCACCAGGGGGCTAGGGAAAAGGATGACCTAGAAGCAATGATTCGAAGAGGATAGGCACATGTACAAGAAACATGGCAGAGGCCGGAAGACTAATCTTGAGCTCAAAGTGAAGGCTCTAGTTGCAAAGGCGCTGGAGGAGCAAGGACTGTCTATGGATCCACGGATATTAGTGACGCCGCTGGTAGAATTAGCATTAGTTGGCAGCCCTCCGAAAGTTCCTAGCAGCCAAGGTTCCACTGTAGCCACTACCCCCATCGATCGCATACGGGAACCAACTAGTGCACCTTGGTGTTTCTCAGCGGCCGACAGAACACTGTGATGGAGGTGGCAACGGGTGTGGCACATCCTCCCGGTGGCTTACACCACAATAATAAGATACCGTCGGACTACACTAGGGTTGAGGTGCATACCGTGAAGCCTGAGTTCATGCAGTGGAGGATAGACTACGCAACTCCCGAGAGGCTGGTGTTACTCGGAGACATTATGGGGCAGTTCATCCTTTGGCACAAACAGGACATTATATTGACTACTTCTTCGCCGCCTCCCCCTCTCCCAAATTTGGAGCAAGTTGTTGAGGTCGGGGAGATATTTTCACCGTCTTGTGACCACCACATTCCTAAGATGCCACATTCTTCCCCGCCTCCTAGCGAGCATGTGTCTGATGAGATGCCACAACCTTCTCCAGCTTGTATCGAGCAAGTGCATGATGAGATGCCATAGTCTTCTCAACAAGCATAGCCGATACATCAACAACGAGTGCCTCCTGAAGAAGGTGATGCACAAGAAGATGAGGACATGCCTGAATGGGAACTTCGAAAGAAGCATCCAATCACCATAAGGCCAATTTATGTTCTGATGAAAGACGTCTCGTCCATGTCAAAGTGGTATTCCCATGACCAGTTCAAGCCTGAGAACCAAGTTAAAAAAGTCCCATCACGAGGTTCTGAGGAGGCCGTCACTAGCAAACTCCACCAAATTGCAAAGCAGTATCCAAATGTTGATGCCATCAAATGGTCAAAGGATTGCCCGAAAACATATGAAAGAGGCAAGCCCTTCCTACCAAACCGGGACATCCAGCGCCTACCACTTGGAATGAGAAGGTTCCATGATTGGTACCTGCGTGTTCTCCCAACGAGCATAGACCTCATACAAGCATGCTTCCCCATCGGACATTTGGAAGCCCAGCCGGGAAAATTGTCTTTGACTTCAATGACATACAGACATGCTTTCACCTGGGAGCAATGGAGATGAATCTAATTTGCACGTGGTACCTATAAGTCCTTGTCCTTCCGATATGATATGAATGTAATCTTTGAATTTTGTTGTAACTAACCCACGCCGTGATTTGTAGAATGCAAGTGCACATTGTTAAACAAATGCCAAGTGTGAAAGCCGGGTATCTAGACCCTCAAGCTATAGCCAAAACAAATTTTAATTAACCTAAACAGTGGAAATTGGATGCCAAAGAGCTAACTGCTGCAAAGACTCTTCGGGAGAAAGAGCACATCCGTACGGCGAAATTAAGGGAAGAGTCCCTTAAGGTTGCGGCATATATTGCCCTGGCTTTCAAAACTCTCCAACAACACTCTACTATATGGCTACCATACAACTTTCAGTAAGTTCAACTCTATACTTAAAGCTTTGTTCGATATATTTTATTCGATGCAAAAGTGCTTATCTAGTTCTATGATTAAATCCATGCAGCAACCACTGGATTTGTATAGCCGTCGATGTCGGGAGGAGCATGGTATGGGTCTTTGATTCAATAGATAGGGAACCGGTGACATACAAAGACTTCATATCGATTCTCAAGACGTATACATATCGACAATCCTCATTAGCTTATATGTTTGTATACATACTTGTAACGTTCGCTTTTGGATACTAACAAGTTGTATTTGCTAAAATAATTCGAACATGGCATTTAGATTCTATGTCACTAATCATCACGGAAGGCATGATCCAGCAAGGAAGGAAAAACTAGCTATAAAAACACTATGTGCGGTAAGTGTAACTTACTTGTTTAGTACTCCATTACATGGCTATCAAAAGCATTACTTAATATTTTCATATGCAAAACACATAGTGACCCAAGTAGAAGCCAGGGAATGTACATTGTGGATACTATATATGTTCTATGATGAGTAACACCAGTGCCTACAGGAGACACCCTTTAAGGGTAAGTTTGAACCTCTTCACCCGTAGTATAAAAACTTCGTACATGGTATGAAATATTAAACCAAAACTTGTTCTCTTGTAGTGAAAAGAAGAGAAAGGAATGAAAAGAGACTCATACAAGGATGATCAACTCTTAGAGCTAGTCGGCGACCTTTGCAACTTCATATTGGACCAGATTGTACACGTCAAAGGCACCTACCATGACCGAGAGTCTGACTTAGGTAGAAATCCTCAGTACCAACACCTTCGTGAGACTGAAAGGCTAGCTCTAGGACGTTGATAACAATGTTTATGGAATTTGTATATTTAATGATGGATTGTATATATTCTTATGAATTGGACTTGAAATTGTAGTTTATATAATACTCTTGTGCTTGTAGTCTAAGGGGTTTGGAACGCTGGTTGCGGGGCGTTCGGCAACGCGAACGCGGTTCGGAACGTTGGTCGTGGAGCGTTCAGCAACGCGAACGCGGTTCGGAACGCTGGTCGCGGGGTGTTCGGCAACGCGAACGCTGTTCAGAACATTGGTCGCGGGGCGTTCGGCAACGCGAACGCGGGATGGAATACGCGGAAACAAACAGTGTTCTGGTCGATTTTGAATTTTAAATTTGAATATTTTTTTTGTGGAAAAACGAACTGTAGAGGCAGTTCTAGATTGAATCGCCCCTACAAACAGGTATTATAAAGGCGGCTGGTACTACAGCCGACCCTACAAATCTATTTGTAGGGGCAGCTGGTAACACGAGCCGCCCCTACAAATCTCGTCCCTACAAATATATGATTTGTAGAGACGGTTGGGTAGGGGCGGCCAGCTAAACTGCCCCTACGAAGGTTACGAGCCGCCCCTAAAAAGCGTTTCTGCAGTAGTGCGAGCAGGGCAGCCACGGTGGCGTCGAACGCCGCCGCGGGCGACGTCGTCACGTTCTCGCCGTTGGCGCTGATGTACTGCTTGCTGTTGTCGATGGAGGTGAGGAAGTTCTGGTACGAGAAGCGGAGGTAGGAGGGGTCGTAGTACACGGTGGCGTCCATGAAGTAGGCGTTGGCGACGCAGGCGGCGCAGTCGGAGGCGTTGGTGGTGGTGTCGCCGCGGCAGAGCGTGAGGCCGTAGACGGTTGCCGGGACGGTGCCGGCGCTGTCGGCGGCGAAGAGATGCGTGGGAGACAAGGTCGCCTTCCTGGGGAGCTCCGTGGAGAGGAGCTTGAGGTTGGATTGGTAGGTGCTGTTCGCTGTGTAGTTCCAGCCATTGACACAGCTTTGCGACAGTAGGTCGCTGGTGGCGAGCGGCGCGAGGAGGAAGACGGGCACGACGAGGATGGCGAGCGAGAGGTAGGAGGAGCAGAGCTCCTCAGGGATCATGACCATGGTGTGCAAGTGCAACAACAGAATGGAGAAGAAAACAAGAAAGGAACGTCTTATTGGCTCTAGCTTTACTCGTTGGAAAAAAAATTGTATCCAAGACTCACTTTCTACGAGTAGGAGATATTTGTTGCTTCGAGAAAAGGACGGCCTGCCTTGCAGATGTCTCGTTTTAATTGATGAAGGGACGGAGATCATCTTGCTTGGAGGAATTGATGGCCTGGCGTCTTGACTGGGATAGTACTATGTACTATGTGTTGACTTGACTGGTATTTCTCCACTCACATTTTCTTTATGTTTAGATAATCGAACGAAATTTGAGAAATTCAGCCGACCTCTGAGATGGGGAGCAGCTGAAGTGTACCTTCAAGAACAGTGAAGGATAGGTTAGAAGAACTGCATTGCCGCGCCAATGCCAAGTGCTACACGGTGAGCTACTCTCTCGCTCTTTCTCTCATGTCGTTGTACTGGTATCCCCAGTCTGAAATCAGGAGTCTTGCATGGTTGATTCCCATCGTGATCCAATTTAAGCCTTCTCTTAACCAGTGTAGTAAGTCAGTATATGAATAGAAGACAGAAAAAGCAAAGACACTCTCTTTTGGTCTATTTATACACAGAATGTTGCTCTTTATACATGGGAATAGGTCATTTATGTTATGCACACAAACATTGTAATTATCCATTATCCTTATAGGTTTTTTCGGGCACACATTTTTAGCATGTCAACTATGGATTTTTCATTTTTGGTGCAAGGCAAAAACGAGTACCTCTAAGCATGGGCTCTGAAGTTTCTTTAGTTTACCTCTAAATATGTTTCTGATGAGTTATAGGTTGGTCCACGATATAATCTTCGAGACCACAACACTATTCGTCCTGAAGAAAAGTATGGTTTTCCTTATGTGAATGCTATTATTGATGAGCCATCCTCTTACCAGGAAGCTTCTTGTATTCCAGAATGCCAGCTAGCTATGTCTGAGGAGCTTGCTGTCCTTGATCATACAGGAACATGGGATCTCGTTTCAGCATTACCATCTCATGTAGTACCTATCACATCTAAGTGGGTATACAAAATTAAGACTAAGTCGGATGGTACCGTTGAGCGATATAAAGCTCGTCTTGTTCCTAGAGGTTTTCACAATACTCAAGGACGAGATTATGATGAGACATTTACCCTCATTGCTTATATGACTACTGTCCATACTTTGATTACCGTGGCTGCTACTTTTTCATGGACCGTCTCTCAGATGGATATCAAGAATGCCTTTCTTCATGGTGATTTAAATGAGGAAGTTTATATGCAACCACCTCCAGGTCTTGATGCTCCGCCAGGATATGTTTGTCATCTTGGCCATGCTTTATATGGTCTTAAACACGAGAGCAGCATCAACTTCACTTAATCAAACTTAATGCTTTAAACCAACTACTTCCACCTTGAGTTTGACGGGAGGTGTTAAGCGTATGAATGCCCTTATACTATAGGCCCATATGGCCCATGAGGTTCTCTCTATATATATAGTCATCTCCACTTGTGGAGTGCTCATCTTTTCATATCCCCATGGTTAGTAACACTCTAGTCCTAACACGTTGGTGGTAGATACTATGCTCGATGAAACAAACACATCACATGGTTGTAGACTGACCCTAGTATGGAACAGAACCATGATACCAATGTAGCAAAGCTCTCTGGGCTCCCTGCTCTCCAAATATACGTCATCCCTAGAATTGTGCCAGTTGCAACAAGCAACTCCAACCTCTCCAATTCAAGCAGATAGAAGACAACCGCTTGAAATGCTAGGCTACTAACTATGAAAGTCAACCTCAAGACAATATGAGTGAAATGTCATGCAGAGAGATCTAGTGTCTCTGAAATAAGAGCCATCGCTCCAATGCAAGTTAGTCCTATAGCTGCTCCAAATATCTCGATGAATATGTCCCTCAGGCAGGGAGACCATCCATCAAGCACTATGCTAAGATATGCAACCAGTCCAACAAGCAACACCAGTACACACGTGTACATAAATCTTTCCTTGTCTTAGGTGTCCTGTTATATATTTCAAAGTCAAACAAAAAAATCAGAATCCTATTAATTAAAAGCAAGTTTAATGCTATTCACAGGTGTGCTTTCAGAGGCTCAAAATTCTAGCAGATAGTATCACAAAGATGTACTATATATTGGAACATGTGATGTGAGGAATGTGCTAATGGTGACTCCCAATTTAGATATCTTTGTGATGGTTGATACCCACACAAAAAAATTGAGTATTGTTGAATTTTTGGTATGGTAAATGCACTACGCCCCTAGAAGTTCTTACATCAAAGTTATGTTAAGTTCAGATACATCGATAATACTGGTTCATATTCACTACCAATCAATTTGTGTATCATAAAACAGTAGACTAACATATAGAAAGACATAGAATGGATTTATGGATAGTGGATCAAACAAATGGGACTAGTGAATATCATTTCTCACCACCAATTTCAATTGGCCCTCACTTCTCAAGCTGTGTACCACAACACCAATCGAAGCCACGAATTCATGAATCAAATGCAGACATTTGTACTACCAAGCATTTACACAAACAAATTGTGGACAATAGGCAATATAGCATACTGTCTGTGGCACTAGCATTAGCCTCCTTTTGGGTCCAAGTCTGCGATACAACCTTCTACCACGCAGGGTGCAGAACAATCGATCTTTGTTGCTGGTGGCTCTGTTGTGATGGATGTGTTCCACTTCAACGTTGTTGCTCGATCCATCATCAGAGTCGCCACCATACCCATGCTCTCGGCTAACCTGTTGACCTCCGTTGATCGAGAGATTCGAGGCAAGTTCCGACCTCTAAGCGGGGACAAGGAGACGTCTTCAATTGGTGAGATGGGTGCAACCTTCGACTTTGACATTGCTGCGGTGAAGGAGCCTATGTAGTCTGCGGGTGAAGCGTTGCGGTGGAGCACATTAGATATGCTCGTGTAAATGAAGACGTTCATGTCACACTGGATGAGGGTGACGTAGGGCGGGGAGGAGTGTCGACACCGCTGGCTAAGATAGAGAGATGAGTTGGTGAAACAGGCATCCATGTCAGTGAAGGAGAGAGCCCTTTCCAAGTCGTGCTCGAGCCACGAGCAGGGCCGAGAGAGCCGGGAGGTTGGCGTGGCAGCCAGGCGAGGGCGTCATTGGAGGGGAGGCAGAGTGGCCTTTAAGAGCGACGTCATGGTGGATGACGAAGGGCGGGAGGTTCATGGGGTGGTCTTTCCCAAGGACTCCATGGAGGGGAGGCCAATGTGAGATCAGCCGTCGTGGAGGTAGAGGCATTCTCGAGGGCGGTGGCGTGGTCAACAATGAAGGTTCCTTTGAAAGCAGCATCGCAGTGGACGGCGATGGGCGGGAGGTTGGCGGGGCGGTCTTCCCAGGGCGTCGTCGAAGAGGAGGCCGACACTAGAGTAGCCATAGTGGGGGCGGAGGCATTTTTTAGGGCGGCGTTGCAGTCGATAGTGAATGCCGGGTATTTCACCAGAGCAATTGGCCATAGCGTTGATGGCGTGGCGGTGTCTTTGGGGCGTCGCGGTAGTAGCGGCTGCGATGTTGATGATGGAGTGGTGGAAGGGCGTGGAGATATCATCGCGCCACCACGAAAGCAGCGTCGGGTGAGAGCTCCCCCCCACATGGCCGCTAGCTTCATTGACAAACTGAACGCTACACTAGTTCATTTTTCATTTAGGGGCAAAATCATTGTTTCACCCTTAACTTATAACACTGTTAAGTCTCAAAATTAATGAAAGGGCCATATAAGTTGGTAACTAAATATACTTTTCAGGCCAAATAGGTAATTTAAAAAATAAAAGGATCAAGAAAGTAAGCCGAACTTTTTTCAGGGCCAAAGAAAATAATTCTCTCAATTTGAAATACTATCATAATTGTGATATTTTTTGGCACCGCAATTTCTTAAAAAAAATCGCCACAGCGCCGCAAGTCCATGACTACGCTCGTGAGCATGCTCCGTCGCGCCTCCCGTCTGCCTTCATCTCGGCCATCAGGCGCGGCCACATCCCGCGCTCCTTTGCGCCCCGCGCCATGCCCCCACCCACCTCACCTGTCGCAGAAGTAGAGGCAGGGGAGGCCTACGCCTGCACCCATATCCAGCGCGCCCTTCGGCAGGAAGGGGAGCCCTACAGTTACGCCTGAGGTGTACGCTGACTCTCGACGTCCCCCTAACCCAAGCTTGCTGGCGATCGGAGTTCCCCACCAGGTAGGCTGTGTCCGCCGGCGACGCTGTGTTTCAAGTTTTTTTTTAGCATTTTTGTCTTATGTTTCAAGTGTTTCATCTGAATGTTGCAAAAGTTTATATGAGATGTTTCATATGTTGCAATGACAATATACACATATTTCAAGCCTACTATGTTCAAAGTGTTTCAATTATTTTAGACGCATGATTCAAGTGTTTTCATCTGGATGTTGCATATGTTTGCTATGGCTGCACACGCATGTTTCAAGTGTTTGTTTTCATGTGTTTTAGATGTTTCAGACTTATTTTGTAAAAGTGGATCTGGATGTTGCATATATTGCTATAGCTATACACACATGTTTCAAAATCATATTTGAAATGTTTCATGTGTTTCAGTTGTATGTTGCAAATCTTTATCTTTATGTTTCAAAACTAGATCGAGTTTTACACATGTTGCAATGTACGCTGGTGGCTAGCGGACAGTGGCATGTCGCAGCCGCCTGGTGCTGCTGCGGGGGCGTCGCTGTGGTTCACATGCGGGCGCAGGATGGGCGCGGCAGGCCTTGGCGCGCGATGCGGGCGGGCACCGGGTGCTGGATGCGATGTTGGCGGACGTCAAGTGTAGATGCGGAGCTCCATCCGGACAGACGCTGCCTTCGGAGCGGGATCTAGCGCGAGTGTGGGAGCTGCATATGAACGGATGCCACGTTCCGGACGCCTGGGCACTAGTCATTCCGTAAGAGAATCAAACTTTATCTAGACATCCGTGCGCTAGTCATC